AGATGGACAAGATGGAGCCAGAACCTGGGGTATGTATCCCACCCACATCTCACCTGTGGCCTTTGGAAGGAAGACTCTTCACCACGGCCTCTCTGTGCCTGTGTGATCTGGGAACTAGCACGGGGCCGCGTGCTCAGAAGGGTCCTGTTCTTGGTTTCGTGCTCACCTGCTGCCATCTTGAAATTCTTAATTTCCTTTATAAGTTTATTTTACTTATTTTGAGAAAGACAGAGAGACAGAGAGAGTGTTCCAAGCAGGCTCCACACTGTCAGCACGGAGGCCGACTCAGGGCTCAAACCCAAGAACCGTGAGATTAGGACCTGAGACGAAATCAAAAGTTGGACGCTCAACCAACCGAGCTACCCAGGCGCCCCCTCAAATTCTTAAATTTTTGAACAAGGGCCCCATGTGTTCATTTTGCACGATGCACCACAAATCACGCAGCCAGTCCTGCTCTCTTCCACCCTGTAAGACTTACGATGAAGGTCACCTCTTCTGAGAACACCTATCACCTCCTCTCTGATGGGCCCCCATAACCTCCCGTGGCCCCTGGCTCATACTTCCATTTATTTATTCACACCACCAACATTTAACGGACCTCTGCCACAATACCATCAACACTGCCTTTCTTGAACACACACCAAATCCCGGGCACGGTGTTAGATTCTTCTCGTACGGGAGTTGTATGTAGAGCAACTCTGATAAGGTAGGGCACTGTTATTACCCCCGACGTACTGACAGGTTAAGGATGTGCCCACGGAGCAGAGTGTAGGGGGAAGCAGGACTCCTGAATCAAGGCACAGCACAGGCTCAGAAACACTACTTTCTTCAACTGTCATACATTGTGCTCAGAACCAGGAACGCTGTGGTGGAGAAAGGGGAAGTTCCTTGACGGCCACCCCACTCCCACACCTAAAGTGTAATTATTAGTTGCATTTTTTTAAGTTTATTTATTTATTTTGAGAGAGATAGAGAGAGAGAGGGAGGGAGGGAGAGAGGAAGGGAGAGAGAGAGAGAGAATCCCAAGCAGGCTCCACACTGTCAGCACAGAGCCCGACGCGGGCCTCGAACTCACGGACCGCGAGATCGTGACCTGAGCCGAAGTCGGCCGCTTAACCGACTGAGCCACCCAGGCGCCCCAGGCCGGTCCTTTAAAAAAAAAAAAAAAATTTTTTTTTAATGTCTATTTATATATGAGAGAGAGAAAGGCGGAGTGTGAGGAGAGGGTCGGGGAGAGAGGGAGACACAGAATCCGAAGCAGGCTCCAGGCTCTGAGCAGTCAGCACAGAGCCTGATGCGGAGCTCAAACTCGGGAACTGGGAACAGTGAGATCATGACCCGAGTGGAAGTTGGACGCTTAACCGACCAAACCACCCAGGTGCCCCTGGCCGGGCCTTTTCAAAAATGTCAATGTTGTATCCAAGAAAACCCGGGATATGTGCCAGCCTAGAGGAGATAAGGAGCAAGGACAAGTAAATGTCACTGGCAACTCTGTACTGGTTTCTGTACCAGAAGAAAAAAAAAATGCTGTTAAAAACAGGGCATTTTTGATGCTGGGGGGTGGC